AAATGACACTTGCAGTGCTATTTTGTTTGTGAACAAGACAGGTTAGCATGAATATATTTTTAGTATAATACAAAAATTAACAAATTCGGTGTTTTGTACAATTTTATTAATCTTAAATTTAGCAAATTCGCTTGAAATCTTGAGACGATGCGGGGAGGAAGAAAAAACAAATTATTCTGGATCGATCAACGACTTTATGTTATTAGTCGGTTATTTTGGAGGAGATAAAAGTAACTGTGGTAAAGCAGATGAAATGTTCACTATTGGTGAATACGTAACAGAAGAAGACAGAAGCTTTTATGAAGAAAATATCGTAAAAAATTGGAATAGTTCTAGCTGCGTTGATATATCTGTCAGTGATGATAAAAATGATGGTGAAGATGATCGTGAAAAAAGTTATCCGGAAGTTGATCCTGAAGTTCACCCCGATAGACATCCCGGGAGTGAGCAGGACGTTGTTGGTCAAGATGTTGGTCAGAATAATTCAACTGTGACTACAGAGAGTGAGAAACCTGATGAAAATTCCGGAGATGACAGCCAACAGCCAAGTCAAGACAACAGCCAAGGTCAATAATGAAGAAGAGGACTGAGGATTTGAGTTTATGATTGCTGGCTAACTGGGTAATGACCATTATGGTCAGTTCTCTCGAGGCCAGCATTATTAGTGTATTATTATAAAAATTCATAATTGTTTTGCTCAGATATAAATATGTGTATAATGTTAACGGTAACGTTTTTTGTTTAGCCGAGGTTTCTCTTTTAAACTTTTGTTATTACAGGTTAAATAATAAAATAAATAAGCGGATAATAAATTTGATAACTTTTCGTTACATTTTTTTATAATTTATTGAAAATTTTATTGAAATAAATTGTTTTATTTACGGTTACGGTAATAAGTGTTTGAAATTTTGTCAAAAGTTTTGCCTTTTATCTAATTAAAGTTTATTTGTTGAAAAATCACAAAAACATTAATTATTAAAGATAACATAGATATTTTAAAAAATATTCTAGCGCTTTACAATTGAGACAGACTATCGTATCGGTATGGACGGTCTCCTAAGTGACAATTCTTTTTAAACCAACTTAATATATTAGACTTTGACTACTCGTTAATAATCTGTGGCGGAAGCGAATTCCAAACGTGAGGATCAGCATGTCGAAATGCACGACCAGCATTATTGTTTGTTGTTTTATGCTGGTGAAAACGTAGAGCGATGGCGAACTTGACGATTGTTTGTATTACTATGTAGAAATTCACCGAGACACGACGATGACTGCGAGATTGAAAGTTTGAAGACGATGACAGCTATTTCAAATAAAACTCGATAGTGAAATCGATGGAAATGGAGGTTCATTAGATTCGACAAGTTCGTTGATGTCAGACGATGTAACAGTGTACCTGAATTGAGTACCACTCTAGCGTTTCTATTCATTATTCTCTGGAGACGTGATTCTTGACTTTTAGATATTCCATATAACAGAGAATTGCAGTAGTCCAATTTGGACAATATCAAATACCGTGCCAGTTCACTAGCCAAAGCAGTAGAAAGAAATTGTCTAATATGTCGTATTTCTCTTAAATGATTGTTACAGGATTTTTTTTTATAGACGTAATGTGATTTGAAAAGCTTAATTTTTTATCTAGAACTAATCCAAGTGTCTTTTGTGTGAGAGATATCGCGAGTAGGGTCTCTCTTTGTTAGACTGATGTTAAGTTATGTACATTATTTATTGAGTAGAAAGACCCCAGTGTTATGAGTTTGGTTTTATTTGAGTAGAATTGTAGATAGTTATGTAGAAACCATTCATTCAATGATGCGAAGCATGTGAAAAAGTGTGGTCCAAGTACAGATCCCTGTGAGACACCATGAAACTGATGGACTATTGGAGATGAGTATGTGGATATTTTGACTAATTGACTGCGACCAGTTATGTATGAAGATAGCCAGGAAAGGACAAAACACTTAACACCAAATTCCACTTCTAGACGACAAAGTAATATATAATAATATTTTTTATTTGGCCACAAAATTAGATAAAACAAAATCAAGGGCACGGGAGGGCTGATATATCATGACTGATGGTGTCGAAGCAAGCTGACAGATCCAGTCCAGCAAGAATTGTGGTTTTTTTTATTGTTGCATAAATTAAATACATTATCTGGGATATGAAGTAGAGCCGTTTCAGTAGAATGATTGATCTGAATAGCTGATTGTAAAGGTGAATAGTTAGGATATGAAGTGATGTAAGGTTGAATTCTTCTTAAGGCCGCACGTTCAATGATTTTGAATATGGATGTAAGGTTTGATATGGGACGGTAATTTAAAAGATCAGAGTCATCAAGGTTATCTTTTTTCAACAGTGGTAGGACTTGTGCTGTTTTAAAACTATCGGGAAACTGTTGAATGAAGGAAAGATTTGTGAGATGAGAGATAGCAATAAATAGAATGTCGTCACACTGAATGAGAACCTGGTAAGAGAATGGATCCAGTGGAGAATATAAGCTAAGATCAGTTTTGATAATATTCACAGTTTAGAAAACAGATAAAGGAACAAGTTTAAAAAAAGTTACGGTTATGACAATAAATAATTCAATATCCATAAGTAAAAACAACCAAATCTTATTTAATATTACTATGTAATAAAGACAATTTTATTTTTCTATCTGATATTTTGGGAAAGTTATTGACATTTTCAATTTTCATCCAATTTATATTTAATTCTATCAAGTCAGTCAGTTTTCTGAAAAAAATATGGTTAAACATGAGCAAAGCCACGTTCAAATAATAAACAAATATTTCATTCTAAAATAACAAAATGCACAATCCAACTTTTCAAAATGACATCTGAAATGCTTAACCAACGAAGCTTTAGCTGCCCTGTTAGCGTCCAGATTATGAGCTTTTGTGAGTATCTTCTGGCACAACTCAGCAAACAAAATCAACCACTTCTAGCAATGGATGTCCTTCAAACATGAATTTAATCCGATGACAAATGTTTTGACAGTATTGCATAGGTTGGACATGCTGGTTTTACCTGGTTAGGATATCAAATTTTTAATATTATGTTTCGATTTTTATACACATACACATCAAAATTTATTTTCACAAAATTAGAGTATTCTAATTTTTAATTTTAAAAATTTCGAATTCTGTTGTACATTTCAAAACTCTCAAAAAAATTGTATACTTTAGATGAATGCAACTTAGCTTTGGAAGCCTAATGTCGAAATTCTGTGTCCGCTACCGTTAACTGTCAGCCAAGTCCTTTCGTGGCTGATGGGTTCATTGAAAGTTATCTTAGCTTTTTATGTTAAACTTTCGGATATAATTTTTCTTAAACATATCATATGATATACTCAAATTTAATTTTATAATAATGGAAATAGTGGTGTAAGATAGTGACAAATATGACGATGATTAGTGTAAAATGTATGATTAGATAATGATTATACGACGAAGACGAAATGTTAAATTTGCAAAATTGACAAAGTTGTTGATCAAATAACACGGGAATTAACGATTCCCCATTGTAGCATTCACAAGTTAATGACATTAGAATTCGCGGATTGATTGAATAAATTTAAAATTCTAATGTTGAGTTAACAAAATAAAAATTTTATCAATCCAGTCAAACTCTGAAATGCTACTTAGGGCCCGTTCTAATATTACGTAACGCTCCGGGGGGGAGGGGGGGTCTAAGATTTTGTTACGGAGTGTTACGGGGGGAGGGGGGGTTCAAAAATTGTTACGTAACACAGAAAAAAATGTTGTTTTTTATATTTTTCATTATTAATAAATTTAATTTTTCATTCTAAAACACAAATGTTAGTGTAGTTTTTATAGAATCTATGTTAATAAATGGTTAATGATCATATTTCTTTAAAATTGTCGTTTTCATCCAAGAAACTTAGCAGTTATGAACATTCTGATAAAAAAACACGACGAATACAATGCATTTTCGTGACCGCGTGGTATATACGGAAAAAAAAAAAAAAAATTCTGCTTCTACTCTAAATTCAAAAATATTTTTACATAATGTTAACAAATGGTTAATTATCATATTTCTTTAAAATTGTCATTTTTACTCATGTTTTACTAAGTTTTTAAAAAATATATAAAATACACCACTCGTAGCGAATTGCCTGCTGCAAATGTGACTCACAACAACATAGAAAAAATATTTTTATAATAATACACATTTCGTTTATCGCTTATAACAACCGAAAATTATATAGATAGGCGCATTTTCGAAAAATAAACAAAAATAACAACGACGAAAACGCGAATTTGCGATAGTAATATTAAATCACTTTCAGGAAAACGCGGTGAAGTTGAGCGCGCGCGCTATCGCATTTTTTAACGTTGTGCGACCTGCTATTATAGATTAAATAATGTTGGATTATATAAAAGTTAGTTTAATTAATATATGGATGAATAAATGATGATTGAATGAAAGAATATAGGAAGAAAAATTTTTCTTGTGACAAGCTAAAAATCAAATTTGATCCAACGAGAGAAGAGTTATAAAAGGTTTAAAAAGTTAACTTTAGATTGCATAGTGTAGTTTAACGGTGACCGAAATTTTCAAGTTTGTGTTTCTCTTGCTGACATTTCTTTAAATTTTAAAAGTTCAAGTCGTATTTCTAGATTTAGAATGAGTACAATTTCTTTAATTATGTTTTAATTATCTGAAATTGTTATTTTGGAAATTTATTCTACATGATAATTTTATTTTTACTTTTTAACTGACCATTTTAGCATGGATAAAGATGACATGTTTAAAAAGTTATTTAACGCATTTATAAAAGCTAATCCAAGCGGTCAAAAACAAAAAATTCAGCATGATTGTGTTAGTTTCTGGAATTCAATCAAGACTGCACCTGATTTTGTCCGCTTGTACAACGCAAAGAAAGCTGAACTAGAGGGTACTGCTAGGAAGCGGTTAATTTCGTCTTTTTTCTTGTCTAAAAACGAGAACATTCCTTCCAATTTAAAGTCAAATGACAGCTCTTGTGGAATAATAAATTCTTTTTCTTCAACTTTTTCTGCCGTTCCATCAACTGCAAGCTGTTCAAAGTTAACTGTTTCGAATGACAAATGTCCAGCTCAGAAGCAACTCACGGAAGAACTGAATATTATTAACGCAGATCTAGTAGGCTTAATGGCACGCGACAATATGCGCATACTCACAGCTAAGCAGAAAGAAGAAATGGACACTAAGAAGGCGCGTAAACGACAAATTGAAAAGGATATAATTAAAAAAAAAGCTAATCAAGAGCGTCAGAAGAAGTTTCGTATTGACAAGAAAGAAATACTGCAAAAAGTTATTGAAGAAAATCCTGAACTTGCTAAGAAATTAAAAACTAAAGAAAGTCCTGGGCGTCCGTCAATAGTGAGTGAACAGCCCGATTTGCTTAAATCGATATTAGACATTGCTGAATTTGGCTGCTCGGCTGACGAACGAAGACGAATGGAAACTTTGAGATGCGTTAAAACTTTAGATGAACTACATAAGGAACTATTGAATATGGGGTTCAAAATATCACGAACAGCTGTGTACTATCATCTCCTTCCAAAAAATTATAATACAGTTGATGGCAGAAGACATGTCAGCACAGTTCCAGTGAAATTGATTCGTGCTACAAATGATCTCCATCGACAGCATCCAGATACTAAATTTGCTACTGATACTGTTCATCATCTTTGCGAGCTTGCTTCATTTTTTGGTCCGGCAAATACGACAGTCATTAGTCAAGATGACAAATGTCGAGTACCTATTGGCATCACAGCAGCCAAAATGCAAGCACCTATGCTTATGCATATGGAATTCGTGTAAGACTTCCAGATCACGATTGGGTTATCGGCGATCGGCATAAGTTAATACCATCTGTATACGCCGGCCTTGTAATATCTGAAAAAGGTTATGGTGCAAAAGAAGCTGTAACATACTCTGGTCCAACTTTCATCTCAGTTCGATCAGAAAAACATTCTTCTTCAAATGCAATGAGTCATGCAAGAGACTTCGAGAGATTGATGAAACTTCCTGAATTTGATACTATAACGAAAACAATGGATCAAAATGCAAAGCCAATATTCATCTTTTTTGTTGATGGAGGACCAGATGAGAATCCTAAATATCCACACACTATTCAATCCGCCATCAGACAGTTTAAAAAGTACAATTTAGATACAATATTTATTGCTACAAATGCGCCAGGTCGCAGCGCATTTAATCAGGTTGAACGTCGAATGGCACCTTTAAGCAGAGAATTAAGTGGGGTAATTTTGCTGCATGATTTCTACGGAAGCCACCTTGATATCAATGGTAAAACAATTGATGAGAAGCTAGAAATTTTAAACTTTGAACATGCAGGTGAAACGTAGCAACCATCTCCGGTAATGTTGTAATTGACAACCATCAAGTCATTGCAGAATACGTTTGCCCAGAAAGATCCGAAATCGATTTAATAGATACAGCATGCATTGATGAAAAATGGAAAATGAATCATATTCGTTCTTCACAATACTTTTTGCAAATTTTGAAGTGCCAGGATCGAACATGCTGTACAGAGCCACGAGCCCATTTTTCAACTTTTTTCCTCAACGTTTTTTGCCAGCACCTTTGCCGCTAGTATACAGTCCTTCTATTTCAATCGCAAAGTCAACTGAAGACGTAGGTAAATTTATGAGCTTATTTCAAAATGAAGCATTTGCTAACCGTACACTCCCTTATGATTTTCACTGCCCATCCGTTAGTAGTACAGTACCAACGAGAGTTTGTATAGATTGTGGATTGTATTGTGCTTCACTGGAAATGTTGAAATCTCACCGAAAGTCAATCCACAATCGTATTGTCAATACCAAGAAGAAGCCGAAGAAAATCATAAAAAAGCGGAATGAAGAATTGTTGGTACAGTTGGATGATGATGTTGAATGGATGAATAGGGAAAATGTTGAATGTATTGAAGAAACAGAAGAAGATGAGAATCCTGTAAATAATGAAGTACCAATAATATCTATTCAAACTCATTTGGAAAGTATATGGGAAGAAGATTGTTGATATTTTTAACAATTTTGATTTTGATTTTAGAAACAACGCTATATAAATACATTTGATGTATGATTTATTGAAAATAATAGAAATTTGAAATAATTTTGTTTTTTATTACCGAAAAATTAAAAATATTTTTTGTTACGTAACGGGGGGGGGGTAAGTCGTTTGTTACGGAAGTGGAAGGGGGGGGAGGGAGTCAAAAAAGTCGTTTTTTCGTGTTACGTAATACTCGAACGGCCCCTTAATGAGGCTTGCTTCTTCTTGAAAGCACGTTCTTCCAATTTAAAAAATTTTCCGGCTAACAGATCTCTGATGTTCGAAATGAATGCTTGAGAAAAACTAAAATTAATTTTAAATTTTATAATTCATAATTTTATGAAATACCTCAATAATTTTTTTAATATTACATGTTTATTTAGATAAATATTTTATAGAGATATCATTAAATTTATTTCAAACAGATATTTCTCCGATAAATTTTGAAAGTTGGTGCTGGTCCTATCTGTAGCTTCTTTCATTGTACTACCAGGTATTTTTTATAATTTCATGAAAAATGGTCAAAAAATGAAATATATTAAAGGATTCTCACATTTTTAAACTTTTTATATTTTCATTTTTACCATATGTTTAAAAAAACTCCTTTTTATAGATACGATATAGTTTGTTAATCTTTATGAAATATTGCCAAAATGATTAAATATTTTGATGAATTTTAATGAAAAATTGTTGTTTTCATAAATACTTCTTTCATAGATTTTCATTTATTTGTTTTTTGAGACATCTTTATAGAAATATTTTATCTAACTTCTAAACTGCAAAGTGAAAGAAAATAGTTATATACTTACGCAAAATATTCATTAATGATTTAGTGAAAATACTTCTATAAAGTTTTAACATCAAACTATTTTGAAACCACATTAAAAAAATGAACACGGTTTTGTTGTACCTACTCCCGTTGTAAGTCCCAACTACATAGTCATCATTTCGTATTCATTAATCTTTAACACTAATTGCCATTGAAATTTATATAAATAATCATTTCAAAATATCAAAACTTTTCAACACTCGTCTCTACAGTGACGCAAAACCAGACGACGTCTGATGCTCTGATGTGCGCTTCATGTACAAATACAATGCACTTCGATATGAATCCACCGNCCAAATCCTGCTTCATTGAATCGCCAGTTGTCCTCTGTAATGACCTTTGTCTTGCCACCATGTTGATCAACGGCTCTGGTGAAATTAGTTTTCATTTTTGTCATATCAATCAGTAGTCGTAGTGCAATTTCTGATTTTTTTAAACAGTTGACCTTTTACTATCGCACAAATTAGGTACGCAATTAACAACTTCAGCGATCTAACCTAAATGGTTAAATCAGAAATTGCACTACGACTAATGATTGATATGACAAAAATGAAAACTAATTTCGAGATATTTTGTCAGTTTAAAAATCTGAAAATTACCATTATATAACATGACATAACAAAGCATGCATGACATAATATACCATAGCATTGTATAACATAACAACACAGTATAACATAATATAACATAAAGGAATAATAACGTTAAAACTACAAAAGGATTGTAAGCAGTTTCAATCTATTCATGTTGAATATTAAGAGGTCTTCTTCTAAGTTACACGATTGCTCATGGTTTACTGAAAAATTTTTGCGCAATTAAGAACAAAAGAATGGCGTTAAAAAACAACAAACAGCACTTCTTGCCAGACACCAAATGAATAAAAATTCCTCAAATTCATAGTCCTTCATTCTTCGTCTATCACTCAATCACATATTAAACATACATGCAAGTCATGGCTGTTTTACAACCACAGAGCTATATTTCTAACTATCGCTTGTCATGACTCAGAAGAGGATAATGAACGATGGATGGTGTTAGTTTAGTTTAACTGGTGGTGGCAACTTTTGTAATGATTGCATTTACATGTAAAAATAGATTGTTTTATCGAAAAGAAGAGGAATAAAATTAAAGTTAGAGTTAAAGTCGATAGAGAAAAATTAATGATTTTTGTTAGAGGTTTGTTGAAATGCTTAAGTTTAAACTGACAGTTCGTTGAAATGCATTTAACTTGTTAATATGAGTCTACTGTTTTAAAAAGTTGTCTGATTGAACACTCTCTTCTTATTTAACCCTTCCACTGATTTTAAAAACTATTCAAAATATCATTTATTAAAAATCTTTCTTAATTCATTTTTGAAAATATTCTAATTCTGATAAGGATTTTTCACAAACATTCAGCTTAGTTCGGCATATTTGTTTTAAGTTTTTTTTATATGATTTTGTTAGTTTTAAAATTTTTTGGTTCATTAATAAATATTTCACGATGTCATATTATAATAACACCTACAAACTAATCAGCAGCCTGTGTTGAATAAATTTAATAATTTAGTAACCATTAAATGAGCATGATTAATAAATAAATAAATTATGTATATTTACTTCAGAAACATTAATATGATAATTTAATTAATTAATTAATTTTAATTATGGACAGCGAATCAGTCATTGGTTGAATGTTCAAGATGAAGTTTTTAACTTTCTTCTCCTTTATGGCATGCCTTCTTTTACTCTCAGGTACATTCAATTACCTTTATTTACAGTAAAAAAAAGTTTAACTTGTATAATATTTTGTCTGAAAGTGATGTATGCAAAACAGTTAACATTGAAATAATGGGATACGACAAATGATGAATCCAATAGGTCATGGAGAGTTTCAAATAAGCAATTACTGCTGTATCTCAATGTTGGACCTTTAATTCCAAATAATTTCTATTTTTTTATTGTTGGATATTTTAGTAAAAAGAAAAAAAAAGATATTTGATTTTTTTATAATTTTTTCTTTCAACTAATAAAAACCTAAAAAACAGTTGCGTCTCACAAGAAGAAATCGGCAAAATGGTGTGCCGAGTGTGTCAACTCCATGAAGCTTTATGACAGAAGCGTGCCAAAGCATTGTTTCATTGAATCATCAGCTAAGAAGTGTGACTATCAATGCTTTGCCTACTTGTTCATTAATATCACAGGTTGGATTATTTTCGTGTAAACTGGTCCAAATTGCTTTGTTTCCTTTCATTGTTTCAACAAATTCAACACCAACATGTCTTTCTTCACATAACATTTGACTGATTGCTGTTTACCAAGTTTTGAGTTTTGTGATGCAGGATTAAGTGAGAGTTGGAGCAAAAATATGATATAAAAAGTATGATAATACTAATACAAACTTTTTAGAATTGCATTGGCGAAATTAATGTGCCTGATTTTTTCCGTAAACAGCGAAAGTTGATTAAAAAGAGATAATTAGAAAGCTGTGATTGTTTCCAGCATTAAATTTTTTATAAATAAAAATAACAGTTAATTTGATAAGTTTTGGACAAAAGCAAATAAATTTTGTAAATCAGCACTCATCTTTCCACGCGGATGCAGAACAAAGAATTGAACTATACACCACCTCGTCTATATCAACAACTTCTTTTATATAGCTACATCTAAATTTATCCCTGACGACGTTTTATGATTCATCATCTTAATGTGTTTGAAGCGAGAAAAATGTCACTTCACGTTATTTCAATGTTCAAATTTATTACTATACTCTATTTCATGTATTTAATTATACATTTATAATATTAGCAAATAAAAAAAATTCATTGAGTTTTCCTTCCTCCTTCCAACTCAGCTTCCCTCGTGAAGATAACTCGATCTTGCGTCGTTGGTTCGGACTTTGAGACCAACTTCTCTTTAGAAAGAGGTTTCTACTTTTTAAGCAACCGAAACAAATCGCTGACCAACTGCTATACACCAGACAAGTTGTTTAGCACCAGTAACCTCGGTGAGACTGACATCAAGCTCTACAAGAAGGCCATCAAGAATTGGAAAAGTTCGACCTGCAAGAAAGAAAAATAAATTTTTAAATAAGAGTGAAATACAATGGAAACATTTTATGAAAATTTCTTCTCTAATTCGTTAAAATTTTCATATCATTGATTGATTGACATTATGATGAAGTGTTGTTTTTCTTAAAAATTACACGTTACACAGTTCAGGGCATCAACAACGGGTATTGTATCAATGTTTTATAAACGTTTCTTCCAATGTATGTAATGTTCCCTCGTTAACTAATACAATGAAATAATTTTGTTATTCATGTATATCAAACAAATAACTAGATAATACAAATTATTATACAAAAAAATGCATTAACATTTGATCCTTTACACAAAAATTATCTTAAAATTTTTGTCGTAGAGACCAGAGTTTGGCACGATATGTAATGGCTAAGGTGCCTGGCATTTCTGTTGCAGTGACCGAGTTCGTTTGCAAATAGACACTCGCCCATTACACGCAACGTTCGATGCGTTGGTTTACGTGTAATTTTTTACGTAAACTGTGTGATTGTTGTCGACGCATTTGGGAAGAAATACTAGAGGAAGAATAAAATAGTGAGATCGAATATATAAAAAATAGACTTCACACCTATAAGTCAGAGCTCTAAGTTTATAGCCAATTGCTATACCCGAGTTTTTTGAAATAACTTTCAAATTTGTAAATACTTTTTCATCATTCATATTTCATTCCATCAAAACAAAAGAAGAAAAAATAGACGAATTATTTGAACTGACGAGGAGACAAAGTAGAAACTTAATTAACCTCTTCACGTTTGCCATATCGATGTTTTTAATAAATACATTTCATATAGCTGCATATTTTACTAGTTTGGATGTTTGCTTCATCCTTGACTTCTGTTCATCTTTTCATTTTGAGTGATCTCTTAACAGGTTTGTCTGATTCTGCTGTTTGATTTTTTTCTGTTTCAACGAGCAACTTTGTTTCGTTCTGTAATAATAAAACCTTATACAAATGTAAAACTTGAATTGCATCGTTCTTTGAATTTTATTATTCAAATGTTTTTTCAGAATCAAGAAACCAAAGTTCGGATTCTGACAAACGCAGTTCGTTCCGGAAAATTAACAATTGAATTGATGAGCTTAAAAAATGAGCAAAATGACAAAGTGAATGAAGCCTACCTATATGCGTAGGCGCTGGGAAATAAATAAGAAAATACATTTATAAAATATTTTGAGATATGAAAAAAGGCATTGAACGGGCCGACATTAGATGCGTGTTAATATTTTTTAAAACCATTAATAGATTGGTATTGTTTGTACCACTTTGGCTTAAATGCCTGGATGATTTTTGCTTTTGTTAAATAAAAATTACAAAAAAAAAGAAAAAAATCACGAAAAAATTAAAATTGCGAATGAGTCTTGAGCGTTAAGATTCGTCAATATTTCAAAACATTAATGATTTTGATCGAGAATTCTCGTTAACACTTGAATTTATTCACCTTTGCTAAGGATTGCAAATAAAATAATCTTGGCTCATTTTCAACAAAATTTCTCACTTTACTGATCGAAATTGTGAATATAGCGTTGATCTTGTTTTAAAATATTTATTCTGAAAATACTAAAAAATATTTTTAATTTAATTTTTTTTCAGTTTTGCTAAGACGTAAAATAAAATGAAAGTCGTTTACTGTATAGCAATAATTGTGCTGCTGTTGACTTTGTTATGCTTTCACGGTAAGTTTGAGTTGCTCTTCATTGTTCAAATTTAAAAGATAGTTTCAATTTATTACAAAATTTTACAAAATTTTTCTATTCATAATAATTATTGAGAGTCTTCACGATGAATTAATTTATTGAGAAGTAATCAACACACTGTTATTTAACATTAAATTTTCACCATTAATACAAAAGTGTTGGCTGAAGGTGTGGTCTGCGGAAAATGTAGGTCTGCTCTGAAAAAGGGTGATTCAGCTAACACCGCTCCGTGCTTCTCCAAATCTCCGCTGACCACATGCGCAGAGTTCTGCTACGCGTTCCTGGTCATTTTTCGAAATGGTCAGTTGAACATTTTTGAAGTGATTTTTCAATTGTGTGTTGATGAAGGATTATTTGTACCAATTGATTAGAAGTGTGATCATCATTTCAGATTCCACGGTGGATTTCTGGAGAGACTGTGTGGATGAGAGGATGAATGACGACAAATCATTAGACGAATTCATCACTCTCTCGGCGACTTTCGATGTGAACGAAAGCAACTGCGGAACTGCCCACCAACTTTTCAACGTCAGCCACTTGGGCACGCAAAGTTTGAACATCTTCAAAACTTTTGCTGATACGTGGACGGTCTCTGGTTGCGATCCGAACTATGAAATCAAAGAGGAAACTAAAATTGACGGACTGTTTTCGTGAACCGCCTGAAATTTTTGTGACATATCCAAAAACTCAAAGACGTTGTAACATAAATTAATCGTTTTTACAATATAAAATTAAAAATTTAATGAATTCTGATTAGGTTTTAAAGCATTTTTAACTGTCAAATGCTAGAAACGCTAACTATGTTGTTGTGCTGATAGATTCATCCAACTCATTATGTCTTGAAATATAACGATTATTGTATGTGCACTTACCAGATTAACATTTCTGTGATTTATCGGTTGGTTATCAGATTCATCGATAAACATTACTGAAATTTTCTAAAATAAAAAAAAAAAAAAAAACTTGAAAAAATACAAACTTCAAATAAAAATGCTCATTTAAAGACAACTCAAAATAATTAACATTTTCATGCCAAATTAAAACAGCTTGCTTTCGTTTCGCCGTTTTCACCAGAACTTATTTATGACCTCGTTCTTCATTTATTCTTAATTTATTTTTAATTTATTCTTCATTTATTCAATTAGTTTCTATAAGAATCAACTTGTTTAGAGTTAAAATTATTGAAGAAACTATATTGAAATTAGTTAAATATTTTTGCAAAAAGATAGAAGGTTTTCAGTTTAAAATAAAATTTTATTGTTTTATATCACTAAATTGGATTAGCAATCTTAGCACTCTTAGCAATCGATGAATGAATGATGTGTGATAGAAATCTACCTACATCATCCTATGTTCTATGTTTAATAAAACCACAAAGTATTCCATTTTGTATTTGTCGTCAAAAAGTGGATCGTAACCTCAACCTGGTTTGAGATGCTGTGGAAATACTATTATTTCAAAAGAATTTGAGTTATTATTTTAAAAAATGATTTTTTGACAGACATATTTTTCTTGGATCATCCAGATTCTCACTATCTGTTTAAACAGTCTCTGCTATTAAAAAATAACACAAATAATAACTTCAAATATTCAAAACATCCCCTCCTCGCTATGGCTTCTTCCCATTCAGTCACCGATAACGTATGGTGATCAATATAACATTTGCATTGTTAAAATGTTAAAGTTGGGATTATTTTTTCACAGATGAAACGTTCATTATACAGTATTGATGACATTAAGTATTCAGAAAAATGAAATGTTGATCGGGTTTTCAGTCAATAAGCTTTGCATCTTTGCCGTCTTTAAATAAAGTTATACTCTGATATTTTGATTCTCAAACATCTGGAATGTTTATTTATTTTTAACAAATTGAAAATTTATCTTGAAAGCATATAAAGATTTTGAAATACATTCCATAAAGAACTCTCATATCTTACGGAGATAGTCCATTGTTATATTTCAGATAATAGAAAGGGTTTCATTTTATCCGAACTTTTACTGTTTCAAAATTTTATTTAAAAGGTGTTAAACCATTTATTAATCATTCCATCTAATTTTGATTATAATCGTAATCAACTTCGTTACACTTATAATAAATCATTTTTTGACACACATTCAGATGAAGTTTTATTATTTATGTAAACAAATTACAATTTCTCATGTTTTAAAAATAAATGGTTTGTACAATAAAACTGTAACTTTCCAAAATTTAACTTATTGCAAAAAACTTTGGCCTGGAATAATTTAAATAATTATCTTTACAGAATGGTTATGCTATGGCCGTTAGTGATTGTGTGTGCACTTCTGATTCTATCGCGTTAGTCATATTGAATGTGGTTTAAATTGAAATCAAGTTTTTGATGATTTATATAGACAAATTAACATTATTGAAAGTTTTACCAATTTGGGAAACTGTAAAAATTTGAATTTTTGAAGATTAAAAAATGTATTTACTAAGGAATAAAGTGCATCGTATCGTAATTATTCAGATAAGACTGTGGAGTCAATTTATTGTGCAAAATGTGAGGGTTCAGCCAAAATAAAAGACCCGCTGAATGGGCAGTGCTTCAAGAAGTTTGAAATGGAGGAATGCTCCAAAGCCTGCAATGCAGTCCTGACCATCAACAAAACTGGTAGGAGTAGTTATTAGGCTGTTGAGTGTATCGTGTTGGGGTGAATTTATATGAACTTATGTATTTGATTAAAATTGTGATAATATTCCTTATGTGAAGAAAAATTTTAAAATTTATTTAAATTAATGACTGAATTTTGTTTGAAATTAGTAACAGCAAAAAAAGCACTAACCCACATTAAAGCATCTCATTATACACACACAATGTTTCACCCAACAGCATCAACCATAAACCTACAAAGAGGTTGCAAAAAGTTTGGCGCATCTAAAAACGAAGTGAAATCCCAATCCATCCGTTTTGTGAAATACTGGAAGACAGACAGAAGTAACTGCGGAAATGCTAAGGATATGTTCAAGACCGACGACATACGTGGCGAAGATTTGACCGTGTTTAAAAAGGTCGAAAAAAACTGGCCAAGTTCAAATTGCAGTAAGGATGGTCAGAAAACATCAAGTAAGAACAAAGAACGGAAAGATAAAAACAGTTCTGGCAAGGATCGAAATGAGAAAGAAAATGATAATAACCAAAATACTAGTGGCAAACAAAGAAAGAATGATAATCGTAGTTTGAGTGGTTCGGAAAGTGTTGCACGAAAGAGTGAAAATAAAGAAGAAAGAAGTGGAACAAAAAAAGATAGAAAAGTTAATAAAAGTAAAAATTATGACGGTGGAAAGTTTGGAAAAGAGCAAAATAATAAAAAAAATCAAAACAAAGGTGAAACAGAAAAAGTAAATAAGAAGATAGTAGTGAGCACTAAAAATAAAGGGAAAACTACCAAAAACGAAGGAAAAAGTGCCAAAAATGGAGTAGACAAAAGCAAAAAATATGGCGGGTATAGTGATAAAGATGACGATGGTGATAAAAATGGTGACGACAAAGGGTGGGGTCTGGGTCAAGTTGGCTGGGAGGATAAGACAGGGCAGCTTGGTGACAAGAAAAAAAAAGAAGGATATGACTTTTTCTAAAACAGAATAGGATTTTACTAACAAAATTATTTCCTGCCAGGACCATATTTTTCTATGCGCCAAAAGTTATAATACACTTAATGCGGCTATTATTCTTTGCTGGTTAAATTTGTTGACGTAAATTATTTCAGTTTATTAGATTAAATTTTGTGAATAATTCAAGATTTGCATTAAACATTTCTTAAATTTTAATTGAAATATTTTATCATAAAAAATTATTATTGGCAAAAACAGGGCTGACTACCATTTAATGAAATGATAATACTAGTGCTAAACATTGTTGGCTTAAAAGTTAAATGACAGAACAGTCTGTTATAAAAGTTGTCTACATAAAATCAGTTGAACATAGTTACCAAAATACTTTAGGTAACTTATTTATTCAATAGGTTTGTTGAAACTCATACAAAATTACGTCACATTTTTTGGATAATATCAATCTTTGCGGTTCACAAGTGTTGTTATAGCTGAATTTAAAAAAAAATTAGCATCCTTGTCACACCTACGTCGTTATTCATGCAAACTGATAAAATATTTGTTATTATGTATATATTTTTTCAATATATTATGTTGGTATATATGTATGTACGTTTGCAATATACTATGTAATTATGTTTTTATGTTTGCAATATACTATGTAATTATGTTTTTATGTTTGCAATATACTATGTAATTATGTTTTTATGTTTGCAATATACTATGTAATTATATTTTTATGCTTGCAATATACTATTTTGTTATGTTTGTGTGCATGCATTATTATGTTGGTACGTTTTATTGTGAGCACATATACCTGTACACAGTTTGCATATTCAAATCAAAGCAAGTGATGATTAAATTCCTTGTGACTAACTTAATAATAAAGTTTTAACTCCCTATAAATTAACCAGTGTGCTTGGGGCATGTACATAGAATATTTTAAATTACTAAATTATTCTTACCACGTATACATCCCTGAATACATTGATATGCATGCATGTAATGTACGGTTGTATGTATTGGTAATTTCGAATTTTGAAGCGGTAGGATTTTGTGATTTACCATTAAATGAAAAAAATGAATTAAAATTATATCTCTATGAGAGGATAATTTGCAACTTCAAACTTCAGACATGCGTTCTAATTGATTAAATTCTGTAACATGTCTTTGCCTAATGTTCTCTTGCTCTGGTTAGCTATAAAATAAAGAATAATTTTTAAAATTTGCACATTTATGTATAAGTCTCAATCTAAATTAGATATATTAATTGAACCTAAACGCGCCGTTTTACAATCGTCATCTTGTTCTCACTTCTTAACTTGTGTTAAACCACTCTTTTGCTAAATATGCATTTGCTTTTCCTGGCCCTTTTCTATGGAACTCTCTACCTCCTTCTCTGACGACTTCTCCACCACTTACGAAGTTCAGAGCGGATCTCAAGACCCATCTTTTTGCAAAATTCATTGAGGAGCGCTGTTGAACATCGCGGAAATAGCACTTTATAAACTAATTGATTGATTGGTAGATTATAAACTTTTGTTTCTTTGTGTATTTTTTGTTTGTTTTTACCTATATATCGGCCGTCGGTGTTGGTTTTTAAAATTTTGAATTTTCTTTTTATCCGGTTTATCGTTGTCTGTTTTTATTTTAGCGTTCGAATTCTGAACTTAATCGACTCAACTAACGATAACGTTACTATCCTAAAGACTTGAAGAAATGTTCTTTCACGTGGGTTTTTCATTTTGACATTTTGAGTTGCGTTTTTTTAACTAACTTTATTTTATTTAATTAATTATTTTATATGAATTATTATTGGTAAATTTCAGGTAAATTTAGACCACGAAATTCTATTGCACCCACGTTATTTTGGTCCCAACCTTCTTCAAACAGTGAAGCAGAAATTGTTCAGTGAAGTGGAAGGTACCTGCACTGGAAAGTTAGTAATACTAATTTATATAATTATAATATATTATTATATTTATTTATTTAAGCAGGACACAATTTTTTGAATTTACTAAATAATTTCATTATTTAATTTTGTTTATTTGCAATTTTATTTCTCTCATACTCAATATTTTTTAGATATATAATTTATACTCTCTTTAATAAATTAATTATAATTTTGTCCAAATTAAAGTTTTATTAATAATATATATTATTTTTTTAAAGATATGGATTTGTAGTAGCTGTGACAACCATTGATAACATTGGAGTGGGATTAATACAACCAGGTCGGGGTTTTGTCGTTTACCCTGTGAAGTATAAGGCCATTGTCTTCCGGCCCTTCAAGGGAGAAGTTCTAGAAGGGATTGTCACCCAAGTTAATAAGGTTCAATTTTTTATTCATACCAATTGTAAATGTTTGGTGTAACAATTTTTTAACTGTGATTTTGATTTAATTATAAAAAATAAAATAAGGCTGTATTTGCAAAAATATACTGTGGTGTTTTTAAAAAATATGAGTTATAATTTACTTATAATTTTGCTGGAATTATATTTTTCAGATTGGGATATTTGCAGACATTGGACCGCTTTCGTGCTTCATTTCGAAACAGGTAAAAAAGTCATTAATTATAATTTCTTATTGAGTACTTTAAATTACTCCTCCTACATCATGCCATTTATTATTATTATTATTATTATTATTATTCTGATAAATCTAACCATTCTAGTTATTAGTTTTAATTCTTATAAAACATAAAAATTTTGAAATTTTCCAGTCAATACCAGCCGACATGGAGTTTGATTCCTTATCCAATCCTCAATGCTACAAATCGAAAGATGAGGTTAAGATTTTTTTTTAATGGATTTTGAATGAATTTATTTTAATTTAGAATTAAAATTCTACTTATTATTCAATTTAATTAGTTATTCCTTAAAATTTGTTAAAAAATTTAATTTTCAGGATGCTATAATACAAGTAGACGATGAAATCCGAATAAAGATTGTCGGCACACGAGTTGATGCCAAAGAAATAGTGTGTATCTCATTTCATTTTTTTTTATTTATCATTTTACCATAAATACTGACCGCTTTATTGCCTATGGTGGTCACTTTATTGACCACTATATTGGTCACTTTATCTTTGTACTTTTTCTGATAGTGACTGTTTTATATTTACAATATTTCGATTCATTTCATTTTTATCCCAACAAATTCAATCCTGTTTCCTGTCTTGCTTTTGATTTAATTTCAATTCTCATCTATATTTTTGTTTCTTAGTTCCTGCCCTTTACATTTCTGTCTAGCTTAAGTTTTTTTTTGTTACATTTCTTCACTGTTATCCTCTTTCATTAAAAGTTTTTCTAAATTATTTTTTAGAAATTATGTATAAACTATTATTTACAAATTTTCGTGTTATAATATCTTAAATCTTAACAATTATGATATGTATCAATTTTTTTATTAGGCTTGACTGGTTGTAAGCATTTTAAACATTAATATTTTTTTTATTCTTCTCGTATTTTTATTTTTAATTTTTATACTCTTGAAACAGTTTGCTATTGGAACGTTGATGGATGATTATTTGGGTTAGTGAATTTTTCTTCATTTTTTTTTTTCATAATATATTTCATATTTTAATCTCATTATACAACATGTTGACGTTACATCAATAGCAATAACGATATGATCGTGGCTGTCAATAACATTAATATTGATGTTTTATTTTTTGTTCAGGTTTGATCAACTGACGAATTGTATCATAGTTTTTTCCTTATTTTCGCTTTTCCTTACGATTCATTGAATATTATACACTGTCAACTATAATATATAAATTTAATAAATCTCTGTGGTTAAATTTCTTCACAAAAAAAAGTCATTGTAATTCAATTTAAATGAGTTAAATAAAAATTGAAATAAAATGTGTCTTTTGTGTGGCTCTCTTTTCTAAGTATATTCTATGTATATGGTTGCACATAAGTAAATAATGAGCCAAGGAAGGCCTTTCATTTCCCTATATATGTGCAAATGCCCGTTAGCTTATGTAGAGATAAGTTGTGTGTGTGTGTGTGTGTGTGTGTGCGCGCGCGCGCGTGCGTACATGTGTTCATTTATATAAATACAAAATTTATACTCTAGATCAATCAATCAATTAGCTTATAAAGCGCTATTTCCGCGATGTTCAACAGCGCTCCTCAATGAATTTTGAAAACAGATGGGTCTTGACATCCGCTCTGAACTTCGCAAGTGATGGAGAAGTAGTCAGAGAAGTAGGTAGAGAGTTCCAGAGAAAAGGACCAGAAAAAGCAAAAGCAGATTTGGCAAAAGAGTGTTTAACACGAGTTAAGAAAAAGCGAGAAGTAGAAGACAATCGTAAACCGGGGCGTTTAGGTTCAATTAATATATTTGATAAATACTTAGGAAATAATTTAGATTGAGACTTATACATGAACGTGCAAATGTTAAAAATTCTATATTTTATAGGTAGCCAGTGATACAGATATGGAGAACAAGATATGGAGATATATGAGAAAAGAAAGGGGCACGAGCAACCAGACGAGCAGCAGAGTTAAAAGCTTTACTTAAAGGATAGAGTATAGAGTCAGGAAGACCATAGTAGAGCGAGTTACAATAATCAATCCTAGATACGACTAACGAAGTAACAAGAAGGAGAAGAGTAGGATCATTAAGAAAAGGCAAAAGTTTTTTTATTCTACGTAGATGAAAGTAAGAGCTTCTAGCAACACTATTAATCTGAGAGAGACATAGTAGAATCAAAGATAAAACCTAGACTACGAAACTTATGAGAGACATCAAGAGTTTTAGAATCAGGTAAGATAATAGGAGGAATAGTAATAGAGTGTTTAGATTTATTAAAACAAATTAATTCAAACTTAGAAGGATTAAGTTTAAGACACATAGAGTCAGACCAAGCGATAATTGAAGAAAGACATAGAGATAAATTATGAAGAACACTATTGAGATTAGATGGAGGAAAAGAAGTATAAACGTAAGAATCATCAGCATATAGTTGACTAGAGAAAAAAAAGTTATTAATAATACGAGGTAGTTCAGAAGTATAGAGTATAAATAGAAGAGGGCCAAGGATAGAACCCTGAGGTACCCCGAAAGTAAGAGTAGAGGAGTTAGAAGTAGAATTATTGAGAACAACAGAAAAAAAACGATTACAGAGAATAGTATGGTCAACAGTATCAAAAGCTGAGGAAAAGTCAAGAGCAAGAAGAAGAGTAAGATTACTATTGTCACTAGAGAGAAGGATATCATTGTGTATTTTAATGAAGTTTCAGTACTGTGAGCAGGTCTGAAACCAGATTGAGATACAGGTAGCAAAGAGTTAAAGTCTAAATAGGATGACAGTTGATTAAAAACTACTTTTTCTATTATTTTAGAGATGAAAGTAATATTAGTTACAGGTCTATAATTAGATAAAGAGGTGGGATCTAGGGATGAGTTTTTAAGAATAGGAATAACAATAGAATTCTTATAAGAAGTAGGAAATTTAGAGGTGGAAAGAGATAAATTATTAATAATCCAATCCAAACTCGAAATTTTTAGACAAAAAAGTTAACATTTCATATTTTAACTTTCCTATTTTAACTTTTCATATTTTAAATATCCATATTTTAACTTTTCATATTTTAACTTTCCATATTTTAACTTTCCACATTTTAACTTTCCATATTTTAACTTTCCATATTTTCAAATGAATGTCCATCATGGATAGAAAAGCGCGTACGTATAATAGCGTTACTACGGCAGCGTTCAGTTGACGAATATTTTAGTGGTTTATTCGCATTGGCATTGAAATTATGGAAGGTCAAATACGTTTCTTTATATTAAATTTTAATTGAAAAAAATCGGCGGTTTATTTGCAGTTGGTTTTGTGCCAGAAATCACAAAGTTGAGTTGAGAAAAGTTCTGGTTAATTAATCATTGTTTAGTTTTTCTAAATCAAAATTACCTCGAAAAGATGAAGATGAAAGCTCTCACCAAAAATATGAAGTATGAAATTAATTTTTTCAAGTGTTTATTAAATTTTCTAGATGTAGGACAGTTGAATTTCATTGTCTGATTGCTTAGCTAGCCTTAGTTAGTTAGCTGTTTTATTCAATTGCATTATAATTTTTTAATAAAATTTCAACATATTAAATATAATATTTATTCAATAAATTTATAAGTATCCTTTTAAAGTTTTTATCATCATGTGACATTGTATCACATAGATAATTGACATGATAGTCTTTTCATAAAAATTTTGATTGGTTGAAGGACATTTTAAGCATCTACTAACAATTATTTTTATTAAATTTAAAAAAAAATATTTGCGTTTTTTATTCAGTTTATTGTGCTCACTGCTAACTAATAGATCAATAAGAGAAAAATATGGACTGTCAGTCTTAAAAAACATACCACTGATTAAGAAAGCTGCAGAGAATAGAATTAATATTCATCAATTATATTACAAAAATACTTCTCTCCTGAAATTTTTAGAAGATTTTTCAACATCTCTTGATAATAAAATTGTTATAGATGATAAATTGAGTGGTTCCTTAGTAGAAACTCTTGGTTATGTGCCAGATATGTTAGGTAGCTACGTTTTTTAAATTAATTTGGTTGAGTCATGCTTATTGCTATTTTGCTTTTGATTCAATCTAGCCACATTTTCCATTCCAAAAATGAATCATTCTAAAGAAAAGTTTTTGTCTTCAGAAAGGTTACCAGTAAAAGTAATTTGTGATACTGTTAGATATCACGGCAACGTGGGAACAATGCTGAAAACTTTTTTTTACCTGAACTGCCAAGAATTTATTCTCACCAAAGGTAAAAATGTTAACAACTCATTTTAGAGATTTTTTTATTATGCTTTAAATTAAATTTTGGCCTTTTCAAAAGTTTTAATAAGCCTTAAGATGGTTTACGTTAATGCTTGATAATTTCAATCACCCAAATTATTTTTAATACCAAAGGATCTGTTGACATTTGGAATCCAAAAACGTTGGAAGCCTCTGATGGTTGTCAACTATTTCATCACAATTACATCACAACAGAACAATCTTGGCATGACATTAATCATCTTATACCTCGTGATGCTTTAGTATTCTATGCAGAATCCGAAAAATTGTCGCAGCATAAAAATTTTCTTGAATACAAAAACCTGGATTGTGTACTTTCATGTAGGAAAAATATTGTACTTATTATTGGAGGTGAAACTGAAGGGGTGAGTAATGAAGCAAAAGACTTCTGCTCATCAAGGAATGGGCATGCAGTGTTCATTCCAATGAGAAAGGAGGTGGAGAGTTTAAATGGAGGAGTGGCTGCCAGTATCCTGCTGTTTGAGATGGCAAGGATATTGAAAAAAAATATTGAAATATAGGCGCTTTTTAACAACTTATGACGATTTTTAGTCAATTTTTATTGTCAACCATACGATTATGACATTACCATTATATTAGTTAAAAAAAAATTAGACTGAGGTTGGGGCATGCGCATTTAACACCCATAATGTATCATCAATTTTGCCCAACTCGTCTTATTGTTCACTTCAGTTGGTTTTCAGTATTGTTGCTTTTCTTATTACTTCCATCGTTATTACTTCAGTCTTTTCCTTTCTGTTTTTTTTTATTTTCACATTTTCAGGTGCCTTCTTTTTGTGTTTTTACCTGATCTTTGCATTATTTTGTTCGATTAACGCGTTTATTTTCAAAAGTTGCTACTGATCAGTTGTTGACGGTTTTGTAACATTTATTTTTTACAATTTTTGCTGTTTCTCGAATGCTGCATCTAGAATGTTTCCACATCATAGCTGGTTGTAAGATTTTATGTTTTAAGATTTTATATTCGAGCTCATTTTTTGTTTTTTCAAACTTTTCCTTCATCATGTCTGCGTTAATTAGCCGTGTTAATTTTGTCACTTGGTTAATTTTTTTCATCTCCCTGAGATTGTACGCTAAATGATGATCGAATCCAGTAACCACTATCCATGGTGTCTAGATGATTACCCTCTACAGCTTCCTTCTTCAAAAATCTTAAAAATTATTTTTTTTTTTTTCTAAGAAATATATTTGGCAATCATTAGTTCTAAAACTTTTAAAATTTGTGGTTGTATAAATTCCTGTGAAAATATAGACGTAGGTATTTTATTTTTGCTTCGATTTTCAGAAAATTTAGAAAGAGTGTCTGTGTTAATATTTTTTTATTTTTGTTCATTTAAAACATGTTAAAAATATTTTAAAAAATAAGAAAGAATTAATTCATGGGTGTGTGTGCTTGTGTTGCATTAATTAACACGGGCTTATTATATTTATGTCGACGTATATAATTTGCCAATAACAACAGCATCTTCATATTATTTACATTTAAAAAAAAACCTATCACCACACCAGGTATTCATGAATAACTTTGCTAAAAAAGAGTTGAAAACTTCAACTGACAATTTTGTTAAAAAAATATGGCAAAATTAAATCAAAAGAATGAATATTTGTTTGTAAATTCAATGAAAAAAAACATCAACTGATCTGAAACAAGAAAACGGCCGAATGTTGTCACTCAACTTCAACCGGATAATATTAAATGAAACGAATAAATAAACGCACACAAATACAACACATACTTCTCCAAAAACACAATACATACTTCTCCAAAAATACAGTACAAACTTTTCCAAAAACACAACACAAACTTCTCCAAAAACACTCGTGTTTAGCTTTACAAAATATAAATCACGACAATTAGTAAATCTACAGTGGTTTGTACACGACTTAAGCAGCTGTTACATAATTCGATGAAAGGCTGGCATTATAAATTAGCACATAATTACGCAGTGTTGAAGTTAAAATTAATATTACTACAACATATGCATTTATTGCGATAATTAAGGTTTTAAATTTAACTGCAAATTGTACAAGAAATCGATATTGCGGTCATTCATATATACATATGTATCACGTAGCAAGATGTTAGTTCTGTATAAAGGAGTCTAAGCCTATGAGCACTGAGAATCGGGCGAGTTTTTATCCGGTCAAAAAATTTTAAATTTCATAAATTAATGATGCAGTATGTTATGTACGTATGAAATAAAAACAACAAAATAATAAATTTCTTAACCAATCAGTTATGTCATTAAATGGTTACTCAAAGGATAAAATAAAAATTCAGCCAATCAACAATTTAACTATCCAAGCACTCCACTGATAAAAAAAACACTCAACCAGCTAACCAGTCAACACACTAACCAATCAACTAACTATCTAACTAATCTACAACCACAAATTTCTTGTACGAATAGGACGAAGGAATGTTCTTGACCCTGAATTGACAGCGCCTGCCATAAAATGGAGGTTCACATGTACAGTAGAATGTTTCTTCGAATGACTGACACTCGCCATCATTTTTGCATGGTCTTGAGGCACAATGATCTAATCAAGCATTCATGGATGCTTGTGAATGTGTACTTACTTCATTATAAAACACACACATAAATAAATAAATACACACATAAATATATAAATAAATAACCCACACATACACATCACACACGCATACACACACACGCATGCACAACGCACACACACGCATACACAACACACACACACGCATACACAACACACTCACGCATACACACACACACATACAGGCACACCAGGTCAAATCATTATTATTGAATCTCAAATCAACATAGCATAATTAAAAAATAAAATAACGTGCAGATTTGTAGACAACAACTTTCATTTAGCATGCAATTACTCGTATGAGCTACAAACAAAAACGAGTCAAAAATACACACACACACACACACACACACACACGTAAAAACAACGCGCACACACATGCACTGCACATATAGATTCGCCTACACTTGCATTGTAACTATAGTTTACGCTTGCTCATGGTTCAACAATCTATTTGCAAAGAGTAATGACCCATTAGTTGATCGATGTGTATTGCAATGTTAACGATTCACGTTGTATTTGTAATAGAGTTTTGATACACAACCAGATTTAATTTAATTTGTTTACCAGTTAATTAATTCAAATAAATTTCTTTACCAGCTGATTCACAATTTTTCCCTGTGTAACCAAACGGGCAGGCGCAATGGTAGATGACGTCATCATCGTTTCGGCACTCACCGTCATTCAAACAGGGCCTCATCTCCGAACAATAATCTGAAAATTCATCATCCTAAATGATTACATCAGCAACTGACAATGAAACAATTATATTTTACGTCAGCCATAGTATAGTATTGAATGAATGTACACATCTGCATGTCACCATCTTATCGTAAACCTCGTCTAGAGAACATCTGAAAAATGCTTAAGATCTTAAGACCATCGTAATCCATAATCGCCATGGTGATGCACTTAAAGACGACTTCGTTTATCCATAATAATGAAGAAACAAAAAAAAGTTATTATGAAATATCATCGAGAAATATTTAATTACGAAAAAAAAAACTCATTTTTTCAGAAGTCTTTCTTCGTTATTTAGCACAGGTGTCAAAACAACAAACACACAACTTACTGGTAGGTCAACGCGTCACATAAAATGCATGCAGTGGGTGGGAATTAACTCACTGCATCGGCAGCACCAGGCAACATACTCACTACACCATCGGGCTATCCATTCATACCCACTATACCTTCGGGCTGTCCATTCACCATACCCACTACACCAATCATATTGTATTATAAACTACGTAAAAAAAATAATGACTTTGACGATGAGTGCATCATAAAACATATTGAAAGCATACTTGCCTTTAATTTGGCAGTTCTTTCCTCGGAATGGCTTTGGACACTGGCAGAAGAAATCCTTATCCAAAGAAAGGCAAGCACCGGCGTTCAGACAGGGATTCGACAGACAATAATCTACATTCATCCAGTCATTGTGAAATGCCATATATATTTCACAATTATACTGAAAGATTTTTATATCTATTCATTGTAGTTATCACATTTACTACCTATCAAAATAGCATTTTTTAGCTAAACAACATAGAGCGCCAGAAACAGTGAGATAGCATGCAGACAGTTCTCGCTCAACTGCAAGAACGCTTCAAATTCCTATCCACAATGATACGGTATTTGTTGTCGTGTACATGTATAAGATATATAAAAAGATAAATAAGATGTACAATTTAAGTGCCCAATGGTCTTAGACAGTTGTAAGATCAGCAAAAATTAAGTTTTTCATAAGTTCAAACATTGAGATGAATTAATTCTTCTAAAGTTGGCGCATGTTAAGTGCTCTGCTGTGTAAAACATTTGAAAGATCACTACGAACCGATATATTGACAGCTTTCGCCGGCATAGGAACCTGCACATTTGCACACATACCCACTGGCACTATCTCTACACATACCTCCATTTTGGCACGGTTGTAACCTCTCACACTGCCCTGAATTGAATAGCAGGTCCACATTTTCATATGAAAAGATTAATCCAATATGCTGATTAACTCACTTTCCATCTCGCAGTTGAGTCCGTATGTGTTTTCCGGACATAAGCATGAATAATTCTGAGCAGTTTTTACGCACTCTCCTCCATTAACACAGGGGTTTGTATCATTGAGGCACCATTCTTTCTCTAAAATTGGAAAAATTAACAAAATATGAAAAAGTAAATAAATTTATTTATCACTAAAAAATGGTTTAGATGAATGTAATTGGAAAATTTGAAAATGTGAAACAACAATTCCTAGATAAAAATTGAATGGTGGAACTAATTGGCACACTTGTTTGGCAGTGTTTTCCAGAGTAAGGCAGTTTACAGTGACACATATAAAATCCTGAAGGCACCGTTTGACAAGCTGCATCGTTCAAACATGGACTTGGTCGCTTATTGCACTCGTTTTGATCTATCAAATTTGTGAGAAGAACGCTGAAAATTGTATTCTACTATTGACGTAAACTGGAGATAAAATTTTGACTTCATCTTACTTCCAATGAGATTGGAGATTGTGATTCTAGATGAATATTCTCCGCCTGGATATCTCTCAAACAGAATTGAACACGGAACGGCCATCCTATCCATTGGCCTCCACACCAAATTAGACCTCATCTGATTTTCATCGACCGTCATGCCATAGCTGTGGTACACCGACGATGGAAATGCCGATGTTCGTGACGCGTGGAATGTAATTCGAGATTTCTCTCCTGCTGCTATCTGCAACAAAATTGCATGGCGGATTTTTTCGTTACTTCAAATATTTGGTTATATAAATCGATGATTACCTCAATTGTGTGCGAGTGATCTGAAAACTCTAAAAGACAGTTGACTCTTTCTTCATGTAGCAGAGATATTGTGATGTTGGTTGTAGATGCATGTATCATGACTGGAGCTTTTGGTAACATATGGTAATCATTTAATAAATTTTGCATAGTAAATAAAGAAAAAATCAATCGTTTGTTTATTCTCTCCACATCAACTTAAGTTACCTCTTGGCAGAAAATAAATTAGAAAATTTCTATTACCTTTACAAATGCGATCAAATATGTAAGATAGAATGTCAGATTCCTTTAGATCTTCTGACCACACCAAATGATTGCCAAACATTCCACTGCCATTGATGACAATTCCATTTGTTACTAAAATCATTGTTATTCCTTCTTTTTTTAGTTTTATAACAGCTTCTTTAGTTTCATTTACGCAATTGAATACTCCAGATGAGAATACAATAACAATTTTCGGTTTTAGTAGATTGAGGCGGTCGTCATTAAAGAGGTTTTGGTCTAGTATGTGTTCAAGTGCTGTGTGCATGTTCTGCAGTCCTGTTGATGTTTAAGTTTTATTTTCATCCTAGGGCTACGCGCCCTGAGCTAATCAGAGTTTAGCCGCGTGATGGTCTAATGGTTAAGGTCGCCTGGTGCTGTTTCACAGTAACCGGGTTCGAATGTGAAAAGATATATTTAGTAGATGAATTTTATCATAAACAGGCTTCGCAAACAAACATTTAGAACTGATATTTTGAATTTTAAAATTTTTGAAAATGTATAAAATGAGTGGGCTATAAAATTTTACACTGAAACTAGCAAAAAAACCAAAACAATAACATCAAAAAACAATGACAACAACAACAAAACCACAACAACACCAGCGAAAATAATAACAAACTACCTCCATTTTGAAATTTGACATAATCTAACAGACAGCTCAATGGTCTAGAGAATTCACCAAGTTTAATAACTTCAGTGACATCATCACTGAATTGAAGGAGCGCATATCTACTCGTTGCAACTGGTGTCGATCCAAAATTCAATTCAGATGTTATTGAATGGATGAGTTTCAAGTTTTTTGAAAATTGAACATTTTGAGATGAACCATCGATGAGAAAAATTATATCAACGTAGATATCACATTCTGTGTAGATTATAAAAATAATATTTAAAAAATTTTTGTTCTAAATAAATCAATAATGAATACAAGTGAAAAGGTATCTAGAGTAGTAAATGTTTAAGTCATTTTAAAATTTAGGAGCAATTAAAACAGCATCTATTGCTTTATGCAAACTTTTTTCAAATGTTTATTTTGAAAATGATTGTTTCAAATCAAATATCAGGCATTTCAAAGTCTATCATGGATAAAAATTATAAATTGGAGTAATTATTCCTAAAATCATACTACAGCAAACATTTCATCATTGTTGAATTCATTTTACTTTTTGAAGAATTATCGAACTGTCTGATGAAATAACTGGGTGATGTTCCATTAGTGAAATGTTTGGACCAGAAGTCAGCCTGGTCAGTTAAACTTTCTGGAATGTTCTGCTGCTTGTTGATGTGAATCAGGATTCTGGCTGCCAAACCATTGACCAGTGGTTTATTTAAATCTTCGAATGTGATTAACAGCCACTCAATAGAAAAAAAGACTTCTATACCATTGAGGATGTGTAAGAACTCATGTTTTTGAAGTTCATCTTGGGTATTTTTCAATTGTGCACTTGAAATCTAATTTGAAAAAAAATAAAAACATAATAAATAATAACAATTCATCATGCATAACTGCTGTGCATTTAACTAACAATATGTAGCATAAAGTAAAAAAAATATATTTATAATAGTATTAGTTTAAAATTCAAACCTGCCAAATCCCAGTTTTAATCGAATTGAACATTCCATCCACTTCACCAAACTTTGACTCAACATAAGCTAATCTCTTCAGGAACAACTTATCATCAGGGAACAACCTGGATGCTTCAATCACGGCAATGACGCTGTCAACGATGTCGGGGCCAGTTTGGAAGCTCGTCAACGTCATATCAACGTTATTCCCTCCTTCCAGATGATGTGTCATCAAAGACAACAGACAGACTGACAACAGCATCCTTCGCGTCATTAAGACTGATTGCTATTCTTTTCTATCTTTTCATCTCATTTCAATTGTAATAACTGTTTCAAAATTTTAAAATGAAAACCAAAGTCCAAAATCATTGAAAAACTACTACTTTAACTAAAATACTTAACCCAGGCTAATCAACCAAATAGAGTGCAACAAAGTGAGTACAGTCAATAAAATGAAAATAATTCAGAAAAACAAATTTTCAAAATTGTCCAAACAACCAAAAATTTTAACGAAGGCGACGAAGTTGAAACAAGTTTTTTAAAAAATTCGTCTACTTTGGCGTCGGCTCGATTTTTAAAAAAAGGTTTCACCAAAGACCAAACTTCAAAACAAATTAAATTAATTTATTAGCATTTATTGAAGATAGGTTCAATTCGTTTGTTAGATATACAACATGAAAACAAAATTGAAATGAAGTTTGCCAATCTAACACCCATTGGCCACATGCTGCGATGATAATGAGCTATATGTGACTGACAGACAATATTTGTTATAATATTTATAGTAGTAATGTAGTAACGTGTGAAATACTGAGTACAAGTATGAGTGTGTACTTAAAGTAGTACAATAATGTGAAATACTTAAAACATACAATGTTTGAAGATAGTTTGAATTTGTGTATTGAAATTGATTATTGAAACGCAATGTACGTACATACGTACAGATACAACTTGATATAAAATTGAAATGAAGATTTACAATTTTATTTTGAGCAAACACGTGTTGGTCTGCCACATGATGCAATGCTTATGAGCCATATGTGACTATGTTTGCGGTGCAACTTTTAGCAGAGCAGGTCGTTTTACATGGGGCCAGTGTGGGGGGGGTCCAGATCTCGTCAAACAATTAAAAAGGTATTATTTATACGTGCCAGCATTTGGATTTTCAAAAAGCAAGGTATATATATATATACATATATATATATATATATATATATATATATATATATAATTTTGGGATGGGGTTTTCAGCTATGAAGATTTTATTGAAAATTTTTGCTCACTTCGCGTTAATTAACTTTTTAATAATACATTCAACGATATGGAATTGTTAGCCAGCTAAATTATTTCACTAGTTCTCAATAAATACGATTTAAAACAATTCCATATAGTTGAGTGTATTTTTAAAAAGTTAATTAACGCGAAGTGGGCAAAAATATTTAATGAAATCAGCATATATATATATACATATATAGGGTTAAGGCTGTCAGACATGCAATTATTAATGAAAATTATAGCATATAAATAGGAAGTTAACTAACGCCGAACAAGCTGTGATTTTCATCAATAATTGCATATATATATATATATATATATATATATATATATATATATATATATATATATATAAATCGGTGTTGGTGCCCTTGTGTTCTCACAATTCATTAAATTGCTATCTCAATATTTCACTATTTGTTTTAGATGCTAAAGTAGGACAAACGTTACGCCCAATTCTGAAAGGGTTGGCAACTATGACGTATTAACTAGGTTCAAATGGATTTATGTTGGTTGAACACTCGAAAATATAACATCAGTTTTAAACTCATGTCAAAAACATAATAAATTTTAAGTGTTAACAGGAGCTCATTTCCACACTTTATTTATTATATAGTAAAAACAAGCTACAAACGTGCAATTTTCCGATTCTAAATAATGGGGCTGCTTGTAATTCAGCATGTTGCTGAAAACATACCATCAAAAGACAGGCGTTAATGATATTGATTGATGTAAAGTGCATCATTTTTTGTTCTAGTATTCCACATTGTAGACTTGTTATCAAGTTGTGTTCAGGCCGAATTCGTGCGCTAATGTTTTGTGCGTATCTTTATTAAATGGCATATAGGACTTCTTCCCTGTGTAGTTTGCACTTTGGTCTAAAAGTGTTGTTTGCATTAGAATACGATACGACTCTGTCTATTTATCATTTAGCAAACTATAAATATTTGCCCACAAAATCAACTAACTATCTATGTATCTATATATGAAATAACGTGTGACATTACTACACGTACATCAAGCTGCGATGTACGTAGATTTGCATCATGCATTAGTTTCAACATTTAAATAAGGATGTTTGTGCATTTCTGTGTTTTCAAGTTTTTAATTTGCATTAACAACACACACACACACACAAACAAACAAACACAAAACTAGAAAGATAAGTTAATTTCATTCATATTGTTCTTCTTTTTTAGCTTGTTACAGCTTGTTGTTTATTTGGAATGGGAAATAAGAGATTTATTAATAATAATTCCGTCCAACTGTATTTATAATATTAAACGAACACCGGTTTCAACATCATTCTTGTTTATAATAATAACTATATAATATAACTATATAATATAATAATATAACTATATAATAACTTAATTAACTGTGTAGTATGCATGATGGTGATTATTTTTACTTTAAAATTTTTTCTGTCTGAAACTTTCTTACGAAAATCTTGACGAAATGATAATGATGGTGATATTGCTGATGATGATTTGCAACTTGATCATATTCCAATAATGTAATTAATTTAATTATTTTTATAATTAATTAAATTGATTATGATTTGTGTACCAATTAAGAAATAAAAATAGTAATTAAGGATTTAATTTTTTATTTTTAATCTTCGAAGGGCATGCGAGGGCTAGTCAAAGGCTTTGGACCCTATATTATTTTTTTAAATTTTTAAATGTAAAAAATCATTTTACTGTTGTCACACACGCACACACGCACACACACACACACACGCGCGCACAAACACTAATAAAACTCCCAATCCTGATAATACTAAAGCGAAACATTAATTACATTACATTATTATAAATGTGAGCATGTCAAGAAAATAAAATTTTAACGCATTTTTAATAAGGAATAATTTGTTTTTAAAATAACATTAAAAAATTCATCAACGCTTACTTCTGGTTTAAGTATCTAAAAACACCAACAAGAGTAACAAAATCGTAAATGAAATGTACAATGAGACTGTTGTTACAATACAAAGCCTCTGTTACATGTGGCCGTTCACATAACTCTGAAGATTTAACCTAAACATTGTTTGATCATATAAATATGGCATATATATTCACATATATATAACATTATAATACATACATATAACACATGTTACAGAATATATATATATAAATTATGTTATAAATAAATATATACATATATTTATATATGTTAGTAATAGACCATAATTTTTACAAAATTCTATAAATTCTAACGAATGTCTATTGTAATATATATATATATATATATATATATATATATATATATATATATATATATATATATATATACATATATTATGATAAAATCTACCGAATTTTTAGCTTTAGAAAGTTTACGATTGAACTTTTCAATGTTTATAACAATAATTTTGTAATTATTTTCCAATTTATTAAAATTGATTAGAAAATCGTCAATGTTCATGGAGAAGCGTATATGGGCCACATTTAGATTTTATTCATCTTCTAGGAATATTTTAAGGTTTTACAATTCTCTGTGTGTGCAAAGTTCGTTTATTAATAAACTGACAGGACAAAACAGACCTTAAAAAAAGATATCGAATCGATGCTAAAACTGGATATATTATAATGTGAATGAGCCAGGTTGGCAGTCAGGT